GAACTTCTTTCGATCTCAAAGTTGTAGAAAAAAGTCATAGTTACATCAACTTGAATTTCAGTCCACCTGACTGTTTAGATCAAAGCAGTAATTCATTATGAGGGTTTGTTGGATTGTTCAATTGCGGAAACAGTTTTTAAAAATTTTACCAGATTTTTTACAGAATAACCTGGGTCCCAAATGTGGAAATATGAAACAGTTTACCAAAATCACTAGCGGATTTTTCAAAAAAGCATCCAAATCATCAAATATATACGTGTAGCATGTTCCTCTGCAAGCAGAACAATAGCTTCTCATCACCGCAAAAATTGTTTTAAAAGTTTTTGTTTGTGTACATAATTTTTTCATATTGATTGTTGTTTTTGTTTATCGGGTTTGTAGATTTTGTTGATTTTTATGTGAAAAAAAAATCGTTTGCATTTTTTGTATTGTAAAATACTTTTAAGTACAAAATTTTTAAAATTTCTCTCTAAATCAAAAAATGGAAAAAAAATGGTTTTTTATTTTTTGTTTAGGGCTTGCCTAATTTTTGGGGCGCAATTGTGCAAAAAATCTCACCGAATCACTGGCCTTAAAAAAACCTGATTTGACTCATTTTATCGCTCATTTCTTTCAAATTTTTAATTAATAACGCTTGATGAGCCAAATCATTAGGTATAAATATTTTACATAGGGATCATTAGGTATAAATATTTTACATAGGGATCATTAGGTATAAATATTTTACCTAGGGATCATTTGCTATGAAAATTATACATAGGGATCATTAGGTATAAATATTTTACATAGGGATCATTAGGTATAAATATTTTACATAGGGATCATTTGCTATGAAAATTATACATAGGGATCATTAGGTATAAATATTTACATAGGGATCATTAGGTATAATCTATACCCAATGATCCCTGTAGGGATCACTCCACCCCCCCCCCCCCTCCGATCCCAGTGTCGTATATCTATACTACTAACCACACTGAACGCAATTTTATCCTTTCCCTTGAACATTGAAAATAAGACCTGGATTCTAATAAGATTATTTGACATTAGGTAATAATTCTTTGAGTAATTGCTTCTAATCAATCAAATAATGGAGTTAAATGACCTTTTAGGAAAACTCTACAAAAATTAAGAAAAAATAATTATTGAACTTCTTTCGATCTCAAAGTTGTAGAAAAAAGTCATAGTTACATCAACTTGAATTTCAGTCCACCTGACTGTTTAGATCAAAGCAGTAATTCATTATGAGGGTTTGTTGGATTGTTCAATTGCGGAAACAGTTTTTAAAAATTTTACCAGATTTTTTACAGAATAACCTGGGTCCCAAATGTGGAAATATGAAACAGTTTACCAAAATCACTAGCGGATTTTTCAAAAAAGCATCCAAATCATCAAATATATACGTGTAGCATGTTCCTCTGCAAGCAGAACAATAGCTTCTCATCACCGCAAAAATTGTTTTAAAAGTTTTTGTTTGTGTACATAATTTTTTCATATTGATTGTTGTTTTTGTTTATCGGGTTTGTAGATTTTGTTGATTTTTATGTGAAAAAAAAATCGTTTGCATTTTTTGTATTGTAAAATACTTTTAAGTACAAAATTTTTAAAATTTCTCTCTAAATCAAAAAATGGCAAAAATGGTTTTTTATTTTTTGTTTAGGGCTTGCCTAATTTTTGGGGCGCAATTGTGCAAAAAATCTCACCGAATCACTGGCCTTAAAAAAACCTGATTTGACTCATTTTATCGCTCATTTCTTTCAAATTTTTAATTAATAACGCTTGATGAGCCACAAAAGGTATAAATATTTTACATAGGGATCATTAGGTATAAATATTTTACATAGGGATCATTAGGTATAAATATTTTACATAGGGATCATTAGGTATAAATATTTTACATAGGGATCATTAGGTATAAATATTTTACATAGGGATCATTAGGTATAAATATTTTACATAGGGATCATTAGGTATAAATATTTTACCTAGGGATCATTTGCTATGAAAATTATACATAGGGATCATTAGGTATAAATATTTTACATAGGGATCATTAGGTATAAATATTTTACATAGGGATCATTTGCTATGAAAATTATACATAGGGATCATTAGGTATAAATATTTACATAGGGATCATTAGGTATAATCTATACCCAATGATCCCTGTAGGGATCACCCCCCCCCCCCCCGATCCCAGTGTCGTATATCTATACTACTAACCACACTGAACGCAATTTTATCCTTTCCCTTGAACATTGAAAAAAAGACCTGGATTCTAATAAGATTATTTGACATTAGGTAATAATTCTTTGAGTAATTGCTTCTAATCAATCAAATAATGGAGTTAAATGACCTTTTAGGAAAACTCTACAAAAATTAAGAAAAAATAATTATTGAACTTCTTTCGATCTCAAAGTTGTAGAAAAAAGTCATAGTTACATCAACTTGAATTTCAGTCCACCTGACTGTTTAGATCAAAGCAGTAATTCATTATGAGGGTTTGTTGAATTGTTCAATTGCGGAAACAGTTTTTAAAAGTTTTACCAGATTTTTTACAGAATAACCTGGGTCCCAAATGTGGAAATATGAAACAGTTTACCGAAATCACTAGCGGATTTTTCAAAAAAGCATCCAAATCATCAAATATATACGTGTAGCATGTTCCTCTGCAAGCAGAACAATAGCTTCTCATCACCGCAAAAATTGTTTTAAAAGTTTTTGTTTGTGTACATAATTTTTTCATATTGATTGTTGTTTTTGTTTATCGGGTTTGTAGATTTTGTTGATTTTTATGTGAAAAAAAAATCGTTTGCATTTTTTGTATTGTAAAATACTTTTAAGTACAAAATTTTTAAAATTTCTCTCTAAATCAAAAAATGGCAAAAATGGTTTTTTATTTTTTGTTTAGGGCTTGCCTAATTTTTGGGGCGCAATTGTGCAAAAAATCTCACCGAATCACTGGCCTTAAAAAAACCTGATTTGACTCATTTTATCGCTCATTTCTTTCAAATTTTTAATTAATAACGCTTGATGAGCCAAAAAAGTTTGTGCATTTGATCCAGAAAATTGTTAGTATCTACGTGAGACTTTGAAGGTTTTTTTGTCCGTTAAGAAAATCGTTTCGAGTTAGCCAAAAATTATTGACAAATTTTTTGAAATCAAAAACCACGGTAAACTTTTTGAAATTTTAATTCATATCCTCACATCTAACTCTCAGTACAAAGCGAAGCATTTGGCATCCTTTCATCCGTTGTTTGAACCATTTGCAAGCTTCAATTCAATATGCATTGTATTTTGAGCTGAATTAATTCGCCGCAATTGCTACACACCAATAAATTATTCAAAATTTCCTTTGCTCTAATTATTCCATTTTTGAAACTTTCAAGCCTCTATAGTTTCATCAGAAATAATTGCACGAGAATTTTTTTGTTAAACTAAAGCTCATAACGTTATAATTTTTCCAATGGCAAATAAAGTTTCTATCAGTAAATTTGAAGTAGAAGTACGAACAAAAGTTTATTCCGTCACTTTCTTCAAAGTTTGAAGCAGTTGCATTATGAGGCCAAACTGTGTATTTTGCGAAGTGTAAGCGGACTCCGCATTGAGGACGGTACCTTTGATTTTTTGTTTTTTCATTCTTTTTGATTTTTCCGACAAAGTTTTAACGCGTTTAAAGAGTTGCCTCTGGATTCCAGAGACATGCAGACACCAAATTATGCTCCTATCCAGTGCACAGTTTGGCCTCGTAATGGAAAAAAAATTCCTCGGGAAATTGAATAAGTAATGACATGTTTTGTTTCAAACAACTAGTTTTGCGTTGAGAAATTTGAGAAATAATCACTCACAGAAATTTATTTAAAAACTTAAAGCGAGACAAAAAAGCTCAGTTTTTTTAGACTTTTCAATTGTGACCCATTAAAGTTCTAGTTGCACAAGATTTTGTCTTAATGTGTACTTATTTGTTTCAGGAGAGTTCAAAATAATATTCGGTCAAAATATTAAAAATTTTGACATTTTATTTTTGAAAATCTATACTAGTTCCCTTTTCTCGTGAAAACCCTAGATCCACCCCGTAAAACTAGGCGCAAAGAAAGTAATTTTTTGTGGAAATGGTTGATAGCAAATATTTTTAACGAAAAAATGAGCTGTTCTGTTATTCTTACTAGTTTCACAGCACGTACACATATTTTAAAAATATGTTTCATTTAAAGCGTTAAAAAATGGTCTACTTTTAAAAAACATTCAGCGTTTTCTGTTTTTACACTTTTGTTTAAATTAAAGTAGCTGACTTCAATTGCGTCAACTAGTTCATACGGCCGCATGAATTATCGTAGTTTTTATTGATCACGATGTTATTGTGTCTTAACACGTTTTCATCAAATACTTTGACAATATCAGACCTCAATTTTTCGCAAAAAGTCTAATCTCGATATTCGAAAAACTTTTAACAGTCATTTTTCTATTTCAACTAATTACTCACTGAAATACGTTTATTTTACTGGTTTAAAATTTTAAAACAGCAACAGAACAGTTTCTAAAATTTGAGTCGGTTTGTACAAAACAAACAACTTAGAATTTACTTGGAGTTAATTTTGAACTATTTAGTCATTTTTTGAGCAAAAAACAAACAATTAAAGGAAAAAAGTAAACCCAAAAACAGCCTCAAAAATTTCAATTGATTATTTTACTCCTACAGCCAAAAAAGTTTTCGTAACATATAATTTTCGGTTAACAAAGAATTAACGGTTCCCAATAGAATTGGTTATTTTTTCTGTATTTTTTTGACAGGTTTTAGGACCCATTTCTTAAACTGGAGCCACTAATGCTCAAAGAAGCAGTTTTCAATTGCTCACAAAAATTTGAAAGTTTTTAGTTTTTACAAATATCGCGATAGTCAATTGTCTGACAGCCATACACCGAAACATTTTATTGGTTTTTAATCAAAGTTTTTTTGGTACAATTTTCAGAAATTTTTTCCATTTCCTGTCAACTGTAGGGACAAATCAGTAATGCGCTAAAGGAGTTTCTTGATCTTATAAAATTATCTGAAAAAACTCCTAAAAAACACAAAGACACACGAAAAAGTAAGTCTCCCGTTGCAATCAAGTTTCAATCGGAAATTTTTATTCAATCTGATTGCTTGAAGGAAAATGACTATTGAAAACAGATTATCTTTGATTTTTTGAACTTAAACTCATCAAGATTATTTCTTAAGGCTGAGTTCCCACCACTGCAATCGATCCAAGTGCTCACCTTTTTATATCTTTTAATCTTGATTGTTCTGCCTTTTTTTGGATAGCTTAACGTCGTAACGTCGTATAATGTCACTTTTATACTTGACTAGCAAAAGGAAATTAATAACGTAAATCAGAAATTGAAGCGCTCCTAATACAGAGCCCTGGGAAACACCGCAAGCCAAGCTTTCCATACCAGATCATTTCGGTTCAACGGCGACAAGTTGATTACAGTTTGTTGAAGAACTCGATAAACTTTCTTATTATTACCACTTTCTTATTTATCCCATATTTTTCCTTAGAAATCTGTGGTTTTCAGGCCATTAACTGGTACCATTTTTCTTAATACGGAGCCTCTATTTATTTAACTAATAAAGAATTTGGTAAGCGGCTCGTGATAGCTGTCGAAAATTTTTAGACTGTCTGATTGATTCCACCCCGAATCTTGGTTTTACAAAAATCTAACTGAATCGACTAATTTTTGTGCTGTATATCCAATAAGATATACTTGACTTTTGTGCCATAGTTGACTGAAATAAGCTCCTCCTTTAACATTTTAGTCTGATAATTTTTGTTCTTTTCTATCGATTCGGTGGGTGGAGTTAAATGAATTAGACTTCACTCTATTCACAATTTTAGCTTGAAAAAAATTGCGTTCTCAGAAACTGTTTGGTATTTTAACTATCCCATCATATTTTCAAAAGATCAATGCAGCATTATCATTTTGATTACTTAAATAAGATGAACGAGGAATTTTGACGAGTTTAGACGGTTTGAGAAATATATGTTCTATCAAAAATCTTTGTTGAATAAATAATTTCCAATTTTTCGAAACAACAATGATTTCTTTTGACTAATTCCTAAGTAATCAGTCAACTTCTTTTCCTACCAATTGTTTACTTCAGTTATCAGTTAGTAAAAATAAACGTGAACACTTTCTGTTTTATTCTGACGTCAGAGAATTATCCCCATTTTAAATTCTCCTGGGATGTAAGGAAAAACCGCGCGATTATCATGCGCTGCTAACTTGGCTTTTATATCATCAATCAGAGTGATTAGGAGATGATATTAAAGGTAAGTAAGCTTGATTCAAACAAACCAATTTATTAATTTTAAGGTTGCGTTTGAGTACCATCGGGACAGGAGCTCCGATCCCCCCCCCCCCCATTTTGCTTCTCAATTCAGGGTTTACCGTTAAAAACTACGCTTGGAAAGTTCTAAATTACAAAATAACTTTTGGCCACATACGCAACATTCAAAATTTCATGTAGGTTATTTTTATTTAACTTAATTTCATAAATGATAGTGATAAATGTGAACAACATGTTTTTGAACATGAATTTGAACAAGATTACAAAGATGAACCTGGCTTTTTCCTAAAATACGTTTTTGGCTAAGTATAAGGATCCACTTTCATTTTTAAAAAAATATATATGCCCCTCCCTCTACCCCCACACCCATTCCCCATTCCTCCAATAAAATCCTTGATTCGACTCTGATACTTATTACGCTTGCGATAAGCAAGCGTTATCATATCGGAATATAGTCTTTTTTTTCGGGTTAAAAACTAGTTAACTAGTTTAACAAAAGCAGTTGAATCAGTAAGCATGCCGCTTTATTCACTTCTTCCTTCTTCCACTTCTTCCGTGCACGGCCCTTCTGTTCACGCCTTTCCTATTTCCAGGTCTGGGGCCGAGTCCCGGCTGGACCTCATTTTTTTGCGATTGAAATTTTTTTCGATATAAATTGAATGGTCGGAATTTCGTTTTTCTGCTCAAATTTTGTCAGCTAAATTGCCACATCACGGATTTTGCTTGTGCTATAAGCAACTTTTTTGCAGTTGCAAGTGCATGGGTTGTTCATTCCAGTTTCAGGGAGGGACTTGAATTATGTTGGGTTGCTAAACTTATATTCAATTGTCTGACTTGTTTGCCTAGAGTGATTTTTTTATGAGACATACAAAAAATTAAATGTTAGTTGACCTGATTTTTTAATTTTTTAAATATTTTTGATTTTCACTTGTAGTTTTTATGTTTGTTGTCTCGCAAGTGGTGTTAAGCTCCGCTTCGCCGCTGCTTAGAAACAAAATAAATGAAGTCCCTAAGACGATGAATTTATATATTATAGCATTATGTACCAGGTGTTTCAGATAAACTCTAAATCGGACAGTTTCTCAGAGATTGAAAGCATTTTTGAAATTTATTGAATGTAGTTCGAATAACGTCTGTAAGGACTTTAAAACGATATGTCACTCAAATATCTCCGATTACTAATTCCGGTAGTTGATTTTGCGTGGAGAACAAAAATAAAACTAAAACCCACCCGAATACAAAGATTCCTCCCATTTTTTAAATGGTCGGAACAAAAAAAATGAAATTTTAGAAAAAAGAACAAATTATGTATTGTCAGACATCGATTATTTCAAATTCCGTTAAAATTATTTTAAAAAAGAATTTGAACTAAATGAACTAAATTAGAAATGTTCACACTTTATTTTTTCGCAGCAAGACCTTTTTCATAAAGCCCTTCTTTTTAGGAAAAATCAAAAGAAAGGCTTTATAATGATAAATCACTCAGTTTATTGGCTGTTTAGTTCAGATACTTGATTTTGGGTGGAAAACATTTTTTTTAAGTGCCTCGAATACGTAATACAGACCCAAGACGTGGTCGGAACCGGGCTTTTTTTGCTTAACAAATGATGTAATAGGATTTCCGAGTAGTTCCACCAACAGCAATTTAAAAGCAGAACGATTCGTACTCAAAAAAACCGACGCTTTATAAACTTTTCATTATTTGAGCCAAAAATCGTATAAAACAATTAAAACATGTAAAAACTTCCTATCATCAGAAGGCATGAAACTTTTTATGAGCATCAAAAAAAAGTTTTTAATACCTTTGCTATGTTGTGTGAACTTTTCACGCCTTTTAGCCAATATTAAAATTTTTAGGGCATTGTATGAATGTTTTGACAAAAAATACGTTTTTTGGTAAAAATTGGTGCTCGATGCACATTAAAAAAAATAGGGTTGTTCTGTCAATGATGGATGCACGTCTATGAAAATAGTACCCACGGGGATACCCTTCATTAAGTCAAATCTAAATCTGAAATTCGAATCTAATAGGTCGAATCTAAATTTTGTGAACTTGAATCAAAGGCTTGGCTTAAGTTATAAAAAATTAAATGTCTTAATTTCTCGCTCATTAATTTGGACAAATTATTAATTCAAGCATGTCAATCGGAACATATTGAAAACCCTGAATGTTCCGACTGCCCATTAATTAGTCTCTAATACTTTTTGGTAACTAAAACAGTGAACCTAAGAATTTGAGGTGGTTATATCAAGTGTTAAGCTTTGAGTCGTTTACGGAATTAATAAGACCAATTAGATTGTCTCAATTCAATTTGACGCGGATATGAGTGCGGATAATTTGCCATGCATAAATAGTTCGCGTATTGAAACTAAATATAAAGCCTTATTTCAGCAGCCAAGCATCTCTTTAGTCTTGTGCAAGCATACTCTGATGGCAATCACAAAATTTTTTGATTGATACCCATAAGCTTTTCTAAATTTGGTCTGATTAAAAGAAACCAAATCCGGGCATATATATTCCTCATTTTCTTCGAAAGTCGGAACAAAAATAATTCTTCAAGAAAATTGAACTATATTTTTCTATCAAGACATAGCTGATTGAATATTTTCAATGCCTTGTCTCACTCTGATCTTGTTTCAATTTTTTGATACATTTTGAAAAATTGTACGTCATCAAATTTTTTTGAAAATTCAACGCGAGCGCAATTTCATGGATCATGAGAATGAACTTGTTTCTTGTGACGTTTTTTTACGGCCAGCATTTAAGAGAATTCGATTTAAAAAGCACAAGATGTCGTAGACTAATTAAATGTTTCATTCTTGGTCATTTTTTGGCCATGCTTTTTTGCGCTAAGACTCAGTTTTGCAAAAAATTGGTCCGCAAACGATGAAATTTTGAAGTTTAGATCTCTCTTGTTCTGATTGTACATTTGTTTTGTTTTGCTTGAACTGTTTTCGTTTCGATGATATGCCTCCATGGCTATCCAAAAACTGCAAAAAAGATCTGCAAAACTTAAAGAAAAAAGTTGAAAGTTATACGATTTTTTTTGATGTTTCTAATTAACTTTTTTTTAAAATAAAATCTTACATGCCAACCTGCCGCTCCTCTATTTTTATTATTTCGTTTCCGCAATTTTTCTGCAGCTTGAAAAGGTCATGATTTCTTGTTTGATTTATTGGTTTGAGCTTTTGCATTTTCCCATTACAATGTTTTGATCGAAATGTTTTGATCGAAATGTTTTTCCAAATTATAAATGTTGTGAACTCAAACCACGTTTTAAGATACTTCATTTTAATTTAACCATGGCAAGCTTGTACAAAGACAAACTTTTCCTTGACAGATAATACTTGCAGTTGAAATTGGATTAACTTTGTCTGAAACTTAAAAGACACAACCTTTTATTGATGTTTGGTAATTTTTAGGTGCTTTCAGTTTTCGAAAATACTTGGAAAGTAAGTAAGATCAAGGCTACAGGTACTTAGCTTATAAATTAAAATCATCTTGAGATCACCTAACATTATCAGCTCATTATACTGGGTCTGGAACATTTTTTGATGATCATTGTACACAAGATAAAATACTTTCCGCTTTTCTGGCCATATTTTGTCAGTTTAGTGATTCTCTTCACATTCTCCTCTCTGTTTCAGAAGTGATAAAAAACTGATCTTTGTCTCATTGTAACTACATCTAGTGTGCTTCCAGCAAAACGCAAGATTAATTGAACCTCTTTTATTAACCTCCGCCTCCCCCAGTAATATAATATATAAGATTCTTATAAGATTTTGAATTTTTACTGACACCCGGGTACAAAATGGGGCATTTGTTATCAGGTGCAAAGTTTGTATACGCTTAACCATTGAATAAGTCCGTAAATGGGGGTGGGTATCCGTTACAACGTACCTTTTAGGGACAATATTTACAGGATCCAATTATATTGTTCAGGGAAACACGGCTGTCCAAATTAATCAGATCGGTTGTTGACCACACATCAGTTCGTGAAAAATGACTTTTAAATTGCAAGTCAGTTGCGTGTAACCTTTGATGCTTGTTTAGCATCCGCTACTTAAGTCATCAAAAGGATGCTGTTTTAAGAGTCTATGAGAGCAATACAAGCTGAAATTACAGTAAGAGTCTCTGTTGGTAGTTTTTCGTGGCTAGAGTTTTCCAAGGTTCAGCTTAAAAGGCTTCAGTTTGTGGCTGAACTTAGTTGAACTATTATGGTATTAAAGGTTATGTGCCGGCTTGTCTAAAAATTTATAACTGTTGCATCTGAAAACTGTGACGGAACTTCGGCAAGTTGTTAGATTCCTATAAATCTCAGCCACCTAGTCTCAATCTTGTATAAAGCACCACGTAGTTACAACGAGGTCGAAATTATGAGGACATAATGCTTTTCTGGCATACTTTAACAAACGTTTTCACCACTAAAACTGTCCTCTTCAAACAAACCATATTACGACACTCTTAGCCACAAAAGCTAAATTTTTGTGATAACGCTTTGAGTTACAATACTTTTATGTAGTTTGTTTTTGAGAGAGAAATGCGCGCCGAACAAAAAAAAACAGTTTTTCTGAATTGCTTTTTTGTATGATTAATAATCGGCAAGGTATCAGGCAAGCGCACAATTTTGTCACCGCGAATGCGATCATCATAAGGAGCAAAGATATTATGTTATTTTCTTGATAAAAAGCTTAATCCTTGATCAAAAAATTGGAATCGTTGTTGGCTTACCCCTGAGATCTTTGTTGCCCTTTAATTGATTAACAAAGATGGTTTAGAGCTGTCTAGACGTGATTTGTATCACACCTTATTCATGCTCTGACTTTCAAAGAAAATGCGGATTATATTTGCTTGCGGTGGTTCTTATACCATCTGAAAAATATTGACATCCTGAGCTTAAAATTGAGGTTTTAAATGGGCCATTAGGCCAGTTTGAGAAAAAGAATGTCAGCTATTGACAACTGGAGGAATATGTTTGCGTA